ATTAAAATGACCAGTCCCATGTAATTGTAAAAACTTCTAACTACATTTATACCAAATCTTCTCCTCCTAGGTCAAATTTGTTCAAAGGAATAGCAGCTTTATTTCTGTTTCTGTCTTATGCTTCTACCTCTCTTCCTCCAGCTCGCTGATCCATGGTTTCTGACTTCTCCCAAGATGAAGCTGGAGGGCTTTAGGGAGATGAAGTAGCAGGAAAGATTTTATTCATCACATACTGTCATAAAGAACTGGAGAAGACATTCTCCAGGCTTGACAGGTGTTTAAAACTTTTGTTCTTTTTGGGAATGCTTTTTAAGTTCTTTGGAGAGAAGGCCATTGCTGGGGAACACTTCTCCAAAGTTCCTGTGGTATAGGGCAAAGCATTACCTCTGGGTGATTGCCCACCTTCATCCCCAACATCCACAGAAGGCCTCCAGCTTCTCTCTTCTGAGAGCCTCTTGTTGGAGAAAGGGCCAAGCTATCCTACATGCTCTGTTCTATCTCTCCTTTCCTTCTCCTGGTCTGTGAGAAACTATCACACACTCTTTGCCCGTAATAAATCCTGGAAGAACAGACCGTACTAATGTATTGCTTTCTCTCAATTCCAGCATTAGGGCAGCCAGCCAGCCACAGTCAGCTTCCTACCCTTTAATTTGTCTGGCCTGAGACTGTGTTCACTATGCCTTCCAAGTAGCAAGGGACATGTGCCAAGCTTTCTGAGTGGTTACTTTGATGCCTATTTTCCTGAGTATAATAAAGAGGGAAGGGAGAGGGCTCAGAGTTTTCTGATAGTTCTCCCCATAAACTCTCTTCTAATCTCCATGCCTGCCCTTTTACACCTTCAACATGGGTAAAGACCTACAAAAACCTAGCTTTTGACCATCTCCTTTGACAGTCCTTTGAAATCTTTCCTGCTACTCTCACACCTCATTTAAAAAAATGGGAGTACTCTGTATATTCTTGTAAGGAAGACTTCCTTACATGAATGAAAGCTAAGGCTTTCATTAAATACTTCCATTTCAGTATCCAATTATAATCACAAACAGTTACGTACGTCCTTGTTAAAACTTAGATTTCATCAAGTTTAGGTATATTTTGATGGGTTTCTTATCATTCTTTCTGACATAACCATTTGCTTGCTTAACAAATTCATTATCAGAAATGATGCTGTCCACCGAACATGGTAGGGCAGCATATTGAGGTATTTGCCAAAAGACACATCCCCACCCCCAAATACTCACATACTATCCCTTATACACAGTTACAGATGACATTAAATATCAAGGAGCCATCTTTTGCTATGGAAGACTCAAATATTCCCATGGTATGTTTTTCCCTACTACTTGGTCATAAAGGGATTCTTTTTAAAAACTTCACATTCTTCTTGATTCATGTATTTTAGTACAAGATCATTTTAATAGTATCTAATATGGTATATTTTATCTCAGAATAGGAATGGTAGTCTTAGACATCTAGACAGTGTTCCAAATTTCCATTGGCAAACTTCCAGGAAATTTGCTTGAACTATTCAGGGTGTGTATGCTATTACCCCACCTTTTTTTGCATCACAGTTAGCCATTGTTTTTTTCCTATTTAAGTCGGGACATGTGCAAAGGTTGTTATACAGCATTCTAAGCTAACGATAATGCCATTAAAGATACTCTGCATGGCTGGAGAAACTTAAGGGACATAACAAGTGGGAAACACTTATTCTACTTTTTTTTTCTTTTCTATTTTTAGTTTAATGGAAGTATGGCAATGTTTCAGCTCTATTGTAAAACCAGCAAACCAGCTTTAAGAAAACCATAACATAAGATATGAAAAGTTTCCAAATAAATTATTCTTTTGCATTCAGATAAAAATACTGGGGAAATCTTAGAAGTTATTATCTAATTAACAGGCCCCTGATTGAGAGCTTGGCTGTCTCCTACTTTTGATCTTTGGGCTTCATTTTGGACATGAAATAAAAAAACAGACATGCTGATACACTGTTGGAGAGAGAGAGAACAAGAGGTCTGCAGCATTAGTACCAAATACAAACTGATTGTTGACACTAACAATTAATCACTTTATTCACCCCCAAATAATAAAGTCTCTACTCAGTTAATAAGATGACTCCAGTATTTGGCGTTTGTTGGGAGGTATTATGTGTGTGGTGGTAGGAACGAATGAAAAAGAGGAAAGTGATAAAGCCGGTGTTTTCAAGATACTATACATGTGAAAGCAGCATTTTAAAAATGCAAAAGGAAACATTATAAAGTACACTTAGTAACTGCCACAGATAAACTGAAGTATGTTCACAGGAGAGCTAGCAAAAAATGATAAAATCAAACTACGCTATCCGAGGAGAAAAGAAACTGGGTGTATTAGTTTATTAGTTTGCAGAAAACAATCTCAAGGGAAATATGTTAGCAATTTCATGTGTTGGAAGGACTGTCATTTGTGGAGAGGATATTCTGACAGCTCCTGGTTTCTTAAAAGAACAAAACCCATGTATCTCAGTTTGGCATATAAAATCCTGCATAATCTGATTCCAAACCACCTTTCCTACTTATGTCTTCCTAATTGCAACCACACTAGTTTCAGACAGCTTCTTTCTTACTTCTACATTTTCTATAAATAATTTTCCTACCTAGAATGTCTTATGCCTCTCTTCTGCCTAAAAGGACATTCACTCACCCTTTCAAGATCCTTATGGATTTCTAAATAAACATCTAACTTCCTATTCTATACCTGTACCCTTATTGAAACGATGAAAAAATATAACAACAGAAATACCTTCTACAAGCTAGAGTATGTAAGAGTGTCTGCTAGATATAGGACAAGTAGGTCCAGGTAGAGAAAAGACACCAAAAATAACTCGCCACCTTCCTCCTTTAAGGTAGCTGATATCACAAGAAGTTAGGTACAGGAGATTCAAGATGTTTCCCATGGAAACATGCCTCCAAGGATCTCTTTTGTTGAAGTCTCGACAATACTCACAAACAGCTTTGACTGTATCCCTCAGAGTTCTTAAGCCACTATTCCAACTAGAAAGACAGTATTGAGCAAAAACATGAGTAATGAGGGGCGAGGCTAAATTGCATATGGAGAATACATGAAGCAGACACCTCTATTTAGGAGGCTGGTCCATTCTTTCACCCGATGTGCATGTGGTACAGCTAAAATAATGAAAGCAGTATGTTTTGATATAAAATCAAAAAGCACTGTTTCAGAAACCAACTCAGATATAAATGAGTTTTATTTACTTCTCTTATCCTCAGTTTCCTTAGCTGTAAAGCAGAAATGATGATGATGATGATGATGATGATGATAAATACTAGGGTTGTGATTCTTTTAAACTAACATATTAATTGCTTAACAGTAATTCTTAGCTTCAGAATTACTGTTGTTGCTATAATTTTCCAATATCATTTTTATATAATGAAATTTGGAATTTCAAAAGACTTTGGAAATAATCCTACAACAACACTGATTAAGAGTTTCAGAGAAAATAGGGGTTGACCATTACTTCCTGAATTGCTTCTTATAACTACTGATGAATAGTTAGTTACATAATCTTGGCATGCAGAAAGCCTTATTTAGCAAGCACCAAAGACACAATGCCATGAGGAAAATATTACTTGGTTTGCTACACAGAAATGGGAACAATTTTAATTAACAAAAATTAAAGGGCAAACAACATGGGGAAAATATTCCTGATATAAATGGGAAGTTGAATATATTTAGAATCTATAGAGCACTCACTAGTAAGAAAAATAAAAATACACTGATAAAAATATGAGAAAAAATTAAGTAATGCCTGAATGCATTTAATAAATTTTTACAAAGTAACAACTATATATCCATAACTGTACTGAGAACTGAATACAGTAGTAAAATGAGAGATACAGTATTCACCTTCATGAAGTTTATGTTTAGGAAAATTCACAAAAGCAAAGTAGAAACAGTCAATAAATATATAAATAAATTTTCCTCACTAAACACCAAGGACATGAAAATTAAATCAAGATATACATATTCACCCATCAAGTGGCCTACTTCTAAAATGCAGAATGTTGATGATGACATGGAGAAACAGGTTTTCTCTCTGATGGTGAGAATGAGAATTTTTTTTTAAGATTTTATTCATTTATTTGACAGAGATCACAAGTAGGCAGAGAGGCAGGCAGAGAGAGAGGAGGAAACAGGCTTCCTGCCAGCAGAGAGCCTGATGTGGGGCTCGATTCCAGGACCCTGGGATCATGACCTGAGCCAAAGGCAGAGGCTTTAACCCACTGAGCCACCCAGGCACCCCTGGAGATGCTTTTTACCTGGAGGGTATGGGAAATTTTTCTTATGTGATGAAAATCACATCATCAGTTTAAGAATAAGAGATTTTAAGATATATTTATGGTTCTGTAAACAGTTTAAAGAAGTTGTAATCCATTTACAAAATAGACTATTATATAACTCAAAAAATATTCTAGAATATCTTATGAAGTGAAAAAAATTTGACATCCTATTAAACAGAAAAAAATTGTTTATAGAAATTATAGCAAATATTATACCAATTTCATTTTTGTATAAAAGTTTTTATACATGTACAGAGAAAATACTGGAAAATGTTCACTAAAATAGTAACTATTTTACCCTTGAGGGAAAGTTTAAGATTTTTATTTGTTTTATGCTTTTCATATTTTCCAATGATCTACACTGAATATGAATTTTGTTTTATAATCAAGCAGAAAATTAATGGGAAAAAAAAAGAAGTAACCTCCTCTATGAAGCCTTGCTCTACCTGCCTAATCAGGGCGGATGGCTTCTTCTGTTCTCTGCGTTTTTGTTCTCACCCATTTTAGGCATGTACTAATTCTTCTTTTTTTAAGTCTACTTATTTATTTAAGTAATCTCTATGCCCAATGTGGGGCTCGAACTCAGGACCCCGAGATCAAGAGTTGCATGCCCCTCTGACTGAGCCAGCCAGATGTCCCTGAACATGTACTAATTTTATGTACCTTTTTCCGACTAGACTGAGATCCTTCAGAGTGCAGTCATTTCATCTTTTTATTTCATCTTTTCCTTCCCCCCTTTATGTTCTTCAGTTAATAGTTCAAACCCTGGAACAGAGAAGATGCTCAGTGTTATGAGTTGAATTAGGTCCCCTAAAAGATATGTAGAAGTCCTAACCCATGGTATCTCTGAACATGGGATTACTTAGAAATAGGGTCTTTGTAGATGTTATTATTCGGGTGGTATCAGTAGGACGAGCCCTAATCCAATATGAATGGTGTCCTTATAAGAAGAGGAAACACAGGCATAGATTCACAGAGAAATATTGTGTAATGATGGAGGCAAAAAAAGGAAGTGATGCATCTATAAGTTAAGAAATGCCAAAAGTTGCTGGCAACACCAGAAGCTAAGAGAAGGGTATGCAACAGATTTTCTCCCAGAATCTTCAGTGAGAGAGTGGCCCAGCCAATAAGGCAGAAATAGAAGAGAACAAATATCTACTGTTAGAAGCAATCCAGTTTGTGGTTTGTGGCACTTTGTTACAGAAACCCTACTTAGGAAACTAATATGCTAGCAAATAATTGTTGGACTGCTTCTGCATGGCCCCAAAGAATCAATTCAGAACCAGTGGATGGATTTTAGAAGGGGAAAATTCCTGCTCTTTATTAGAAAGAATTTTCTTAGAGCCATAGTGGTTCACAGGTGGGAGGTACTGAGTTACCCCTTGTGGCAAGGAATATAATCTTCTGCTGAATAAATACCTAATGAAACTGTACAAAGAAAATTCAAGCCATAGATTGTTATTTGAATTCTGCTCTAAAAATCCATGATTCTTGGGGCGCCTGGGTGGCTCAGTGGGTTAAAGCCTCTGCCTTCAGCTCAGGTCATGATCCCAGGGTCCTGGGATCGAGCCCCACGTCGGGCTCTCTGCTCAGCGGGGAGCCTGCTTCCCCCCTCTCTCTGCCTGCCTCTGCCTACTTGTGATCTCTGTCAAATAAATAAATAAAATCTTTTAAAAAAAATCCATGATTCTCAAGTATGAAATTAACAAAATAACTAGTAACTATTTGGAAGTCTGGTGTGCAATCCAAGATCCACTGAAATGAGTAAGATAAAGCAAGTTCTCCTCGTTTTAATAGGGACTGATAATATTAGCACTGGCTACTGGCATATGAATGATATGACTCTGTGATAATACTTACGCAAGTTACCTGGAACAGCAGTAGCAGGCATTCAATAAAAGAGGATGTTCTTTCCTTTACCCTTTCCAGAAGGTAAAAAGAAAAAAACCCAAAAAACAAAACCAAAACAAAACAAAACCCCACAAAACTATGAGTGTTTTGAGGTTTCCAAATTCAATATATTTAAAATAAATACCTATATATGATAAAGATAATTCATGCAATACACAAAGTTAATTCTAAACACTTAGACTTAGTGGATCTGATTAGAGCGGAAAAGATTGAAATTTGTGCACAACTGTGGCAAAATACAAGAACACAGCTCAACTATACAAAGATATACTGAGTCTCTGCAATGAGTAAAAATACTACAAGATGGGAAAGAGACATGAATTTTTAAAATTAAAAAGTTATTGAAATATAATATACAGTATTGTACTAGTTTCCATACAAAATAATGATTCAATAACTCTGTACATTACTCAGTGTTCACCAAGATAAATATACTTTTGATCTCCTTTATCTATTTCACCCATTCCCCCACATAACTCCCTTCTGGTGACCACCAGTTTGCTATTTTTAAGAGCCTGTTTTTTGGTTGGTATCTTTTTTCTTTGTTCTGTTTCTTAAATTCCAAATATGAGTGAAATCATATGGGATTTGTCTTTCTCTGACTTATCTCACTTAGCAGTATACCCTGTAGGTCTATCCATGTTGTTGCAAATGGCAAGATTTCATTCTTTTTTATGGCTGTCTAATATATGTGTGATATATATAAATACATCTTTATATATATATATATCTTCTTTATCCATTCATTTGTCAGTGGACACTAGGGTTGCTTCCATATCTCGGCTATTGTAAATAATGCTTCAATGAACACAGGGATGCATATATCTTTGCAAATTTGTGTTTTCATTTTCTTTGGGTAAATACCCAGTAGTGGAATTACTGGATCATATGGTAGCTCTATTTTTAATTCCTTGAGGAACTTCCATAGTGTTTTCTAGAGTGGCTACACCAATTTACATTGCCAACAACAGTCCACAAGGGTTCCTTTTCCACCATATCCCACTAACACTTATCTTTTTTTTGATATTAGCCTTTCTAACACATGCAAGGTGTTAGAAAAAGCAAACCACTAGAAAAAGCAAACCTCATTGTGGTTTGCTTTTCATTTCCCTGATGATTAGTGATGCTGAGTATCTTTTCATGTGTCTGTTGACCATCTGTATGTCTTCTTTGGAAAAATGTCTATTCAGATCCTCTGCTCATTTTTAATCAGATGATTTGGGGTTTTAAGGTGTTGAGTTGTATAAGTTCCTACATTTTTTTGCAATTAACTTTTCCCATTCAGTAGGGTGCCTTTTTGTTTTGCTGACAGTTTCCTTAGTTGTGCAAAAGCTTTTTACTTTGATGTAGTACCAATAGTTTAATTTTGCTTTTATTTCTCTTACTTGAAGAGACATACCTAGAAAATTGTTTCAATGGCCAATGAATGTCATATAATATAGAACTTATAAACAAATACAATGAGTCAAAAATACTGCAAGATGAGAATACAAATAGGAGTTATTTTTAATAGCACATTTCAATTATTGGAAGAAAAAATATGCTCTCTTTATTGTGCTTGTGTAGAAGAAAACACTGAATCAAAATATATTTCACTGTAAATGTTTGATGATGGGGGGTTAAAACATCCTTTGAAGAGCTAAGATGGCTGTAACTCACTTTCAGTGCTTTTTTGAGGCCTATTATTTTCTGCAAATAAACCAAATAAAAACTCATCAGTTTTATACATATATGTAAATAAATGCATGTGTATAATTACATATCTGTGTATGTATTTATGTATGTATGTATCTATACATTTACAAAGGCTTCAAATTCTTGCAGTTGAGGATATAGATTAAACACATATCCATGCATATATTTCTCCCTCGCTATGATTCATCTCTGTTAGAACTGATTTTTAATAAAATGTTCCTATCTACCAAAATGTCACTATTTTCTTCCTTCCCTGCCTCCTCCAGGAAGCACTTAGAAGCAAGGATCGTCTTACATAACCAAGTTATGTAAGGTTTTAAAAAGGTTTTGGTTTTTCCCCCCCATCACATTGATTGATTTGCAAATGTTGAACCACTCTTGCATTCCATGGATAAATCCCACCTGGTCATGGTGGATAATTTTTTTTAATGTACTGTTGGATCCTATTAGCTAGGATCTTGTTGAGAATCTTAGCATTCATATTTCTCAGGGATATTGGTCTGAAATTCTCCTTTTTGGCGGGGCCTTTGCCTGGTTTGGGGATCAGGGTAATGTTAGCTTCATAAAAAGAGTCTGGAAGTTTTCCTTCTGTTTTTATTTTTTGAAACAGCTTCAGGAGAATAGGTAATATTTCTTCGTTGAATGTTTGGTAGAGTTCTCCAGGGAATCCATCAGGTCCTGGGCTCTTGTTTTATGGGAGGTTTTTGATCACTGCTTCAATCTTGTTACTAGATATTGGTCTATTCAGGTTGTCAATTTCTTCCTGATTCAGTTTTGGAAGTTTATAGGTTTCCAGGAATGCATCCATTTCGCCTGGGTTGCTTAACTTATTGGCATGTAACTGTTGATAAAAATTTCTGATGATTGTTTCTATTTCCTTGGTGTTAGTCGTGATCTCTCCTTTTTCATTCATAATTTTATTAATTTGGGTCCTCTCTCTTTTCTTTTGGATTAGTTTGGCCAATTGTTTATCAATCTTACTAATTCTTTAAAAAAAAAAACAGCTCCTAGTTTCATTGATGCGTTCTACTGTATCTCTAGTTTCTATCTCATTGATCTCTGCTCTAATCTTGATTATTTCCCTTCTTGTGTGTGGGGCAGGCTTAATTTGTTGTTGATTCTCCAGTTCTTCAAGGTGTAAAGAGATCTGGTGTATTCTGGATTTTCCATTTTTTTTTTGAGGGAAGCTTGGATGGCTATGTATTTCCCCCTTAGGACCACCTTTGCTGTATCCCATAGGTTTTGGACCAAAGTGTCTTCCTTCTCATTGGCTTCCATGAATTGTTTAAGTTCTTCTTTGATTTCCTGGTTGATCCAAACATTCTTAAGCAAGGTGGTCCTTAGGTTCCAAGTGTTTGAGTTCCTTCCAAGCTTTTTCTTATGGTTGAGTTCCAGTTTCAAAGCATAGTGGTCTGAGAATATGCAGGGAATAATCTCAATCTTTTGGTATCAGTTGAGCCCTGATATGTGACCCAGTATGTGGTCTATTCTGGAGAAAGTTCCATATGCACTTGAGAAGAATGAATATTCTGTATATATTAGGTCCATCTGGTCCAATGTGTCATTTAATGCCATTGTTTCTTTATTGATTTTCTGCTTGGATGATCTATTACTTAGATTGGTATGTTAAGATTCCCCTACTATTAATGTATTCATATCAATATGAATCTTTATCTCAATTAACAGTTGTCTTATGTAGTTGGCTGCTCCAATACTGGGGGCATAAATATTTACAATTGTTAGATCTTCTTGGTGGATAGACCCTTTAAGAATGATGTAGTGTCCTTCTTTATCTCTGACTATAGTCTTTAGTTCAAAATCTAATTTATCTGATATGAGAATCACTACTCCAGCCTTCTTTTGAGGCCCACTGGCATGAAAGATGTTTCTCCATCCCTTCACTTTCAGTCTGGATGTATCCCTCGGTTCAAAATGGGTCTGTTGTAGACAACATATGGATGGGTCCTGTCATATTATCTGATCTGCAACCCTGTGCCATTTTAGGGGAGCATTTGGGCCATTCACGTTAAGAGTGATTATTTAAAGATACGTTTTTATTGATATCATATTGCCTGTGAAGTCCTTGTTTCTACAGATTGTCTCTGTAAATTTTTGTTCTATGACACTCTTGGGTTCTTTCTTTTTTTATAGAACCCCCC